CATCCACGTGGACTTCGCCATGACGGGCGGCATCATCATCTTGGGTGCATACTTTCAGCACGGCATCGGCCTGACAGGCTCCAATGCGCAGCTGCTGTTGCGGATCGGCGAGATCTTGGCGCACTTTGACCGCCCCTACGCCCTGGCGGCGGACTGGAACGTGGCTCCAGAGGTCATCGAGCGCTTGCAGTTTCCCACGAGGCTCGCGGGTGCGCTGGCCTACCGACGCGACGGCGGCACCTGCAGGTCGCCCAGCGGCTACAGCAACTTGGATTATTCGATGGTCTCTCAGTCCCCCTTGGCGTCCACGGGGGCCCCCTCACCCGTTGACGGATGGCCTGCTCAACCACACTACCCGATGCTATTGCCTCTGGACGTGGCGCCGCGCAGCCACCGCAGCCTGCAGCTGCGCGCGCCGCTGGCGCTGCCCCGCGGCCCGCCCGCTACGGTGGGCTGCCACCCCCTGGCGGGCCCAGGGCCGCCCCGGCCGCGGCTGGACGGCATGGAGGCTGACGCCGCCAGAGGGCCCACGAATCATCCGCACGAGCAGCAGCGTTGCGTGGACGCCCTCTTCACCAGTTTCGCCAACTACGCCGAGGACGAGCTGGCTTGGGCCAACCAGATGGGCGTGGCCTGCATCGGGGGACGTGCTCACGGTCCGCGCTATGCTTGGCGTCCGTGTGGAGGCCCCCCTTCACGATCTCGCCCTACGGCCGGTCCCCGGGCGAGGACCCTGCGTCTGTTCCAGCAGGCCCTCGACGACGTGGCTGGCACCAAGGCGTGGCTGGGCGGCTCCTTCCCGCTGCCAGCCTGGCGGCGACTCATCTCGCTCCTCGGTCCCGAGGGTGCCAGAGGCACGTGCAGCTGGATTGAGCCCGCCGTCATCGACACCACGGCGCGGGCAATGCAGCTCATGGAGGTCCAGACGGTCCTCGTGGCATTGATCCTCTTGGGTGGCCTCGAGCGCTGGCTTGGCACCATGGCGGCCGCGGAGGAGCGGCAAGCCGCCGATGGCCGCCGCCATGCCTTCTTGGCGCGGGCGCGCAGGCAGATGGCCCTGGGCGCACGTGCGCTGCACTGCTCCACGAAGCCACGCGGCTGGTGCCTGGAGCAGTTCAACTACGGTGGCGCTCCAACGGCGTCACCGCAGGCGGTGGCCGAGCATCAGATGGAGGGGTGGGCCAAGATCTGGAATGCCCACCCCGTCACGGCTCCTGCCACTTGGGACGACATCTGCGGTGACCAAGGCCCACCCGAGGCCTCTCCCGGCGACCTCGTCGGGCCTCCGGAGGCTTCCCTGCAGCGCCCAGCGGGCCTGGGCGACCCGTCAGTCCCGCCCGCTGCCGCGGCGCCCCCGGCAGGCGGCCAGTTCGCGGACGCGGGCGAGTTCCAGCAGCTGCGGGACATCATGCGCGGCTGCGTGGAGCCCCTCCAGCCGCTGTCCGCACAGCGCCTGCGGGGCGCCGCGCGCACCTTCCCGTGGCGAACTGGCTGGGGGCCCGACCAGCTGCACCCGCGCATGGTCCCACTTCTCAGCGACGAGGCCATCGCCTTCCTGGGACACCTGCTCTACATGTGTGAACTGTGGGGCCGATGGCCCGCCGCCATGACGCCCACCCACATACTACTTCTTCCCAAGGCCCTTGGCGGCGTCCGGCCGATTGCCCTGCTGACGGCATTGTACAGGGTCTGGGCGCGTGCCCGGCTGCTCGAAGTCCGGCGTTGGTTCTTGGACTACGGCACGCGAGACTACTTGGCGCTGGGTCAGGGGCAGGCCGCAGTCGACACGGCCGCCAGGGTGTTGCTCCACGGTGAGGCTCATCCTACTGGCGACGCGGACTCGGACGTCGTCGTTACGGCCCTCATTGATATCGAGAAGTGCTACGACCGCCTCCGCTGGATGATCATTGTCCTGGCGGCGAGGGCGCACCACTTCCCCATGGTCATCGTTCGTTCCGCCCTCGCCATGTACTTCGCACCGCGCCGGCTCCAGTGGGGCTCGGCGCACTCCAGGGCGGTCCAAGCCTGTTGCGGCGTCCTGCCTGGATGCGCGCTGGCCAGCGCACTGCTGCGGCTGGCGATGCTCACGCCCATGGACGAGCTGATGCGCCTGACCGCGCGCCAGCCGCGGACGCTGGCCATCTATGCTGATGACTTGACGGCGCAGATCCGCGCGGCCCTGCGGGTCATCATGGAGCGGGCGACTGACTTCTTGGAGCGGCTCGCCCTCGTCCTGCAGGAGGATCTGGAGCTACCCACTGCGCGGCACAAGGCGCGGGTCACGTCTTCACGACTGCAGGTCGCGCGCGAGGTCGCTC